AAAAAAAAAAAAAAGAAAAAAAAAATGATAAAAATTAGACTTTCTCAATTTCACCAGCCTTCATCCTGTGCTCATTCTCTGTAAAATTCGAGCCAGTCAATCCGAGCCCTTCATTGCGGTGTTTTTCCCATCCGCCCGTGTCAGCCTTCGAGTGGGCCCAATAGTACAAAACCGAAGCCACCATTGATATAAGCGTGAGGGCAGCACCAGCAGCAAACACACCCTTACGAAGAGTGGCACATGACAAGTGCTCCACAAGAAAGATTGCTCTGTATTTTGTGTGGTAAGCATTCTTAGCCGAACCTGCCAGCAGGCACGCCTCAGCCGCCAGAAAGCTCACCCTGCATTAAATAAATTTTCAAAAAAAAAAAAAGGCTCGTAAACTGCAAACAAGTAAATAATAATGTCGTCATCATTTTAATGATTTTATTTTCGTTTGATTTAAAATTTTGAGGGCTCACAAAAATGAAGTTGCGGGTTCACCTAATCTATTCTTAAAGATCCGAACTTCAACTAAGGATTTCCTTGTATTTCTAGTTTGAAAGAATCACAAAATTAAATGTTCAATTGTTATTGACATGGTAAGATTTCAAAATCACCCTCTAAGAAACGACACATCCTTTTTGAGATGTATTCCAAATGATCCCATGATCGAGCTAAATTCTGGAAAATTGAAGTAGAAAAAAACTACTGAAATGAGATTTAACTTGTGAAGTGGTTGAAGACTAACTTAATGAAAGAATCAATGCACCAATAACGAACATTTGTAGGCTTATCAGTTATCACCCACTTTAGTTCCAGCACTCACAGCATTACTTTTAAAGAGAGCGGCACGATTATAATGGGGATGAAAAAACTCCCGAAAAAAATGAATCGGGTTTGCTGGTCGGTTACAATCATCAAAAGTGAAAATTTTTAACAATTAATTAGTTGACGAAAGCAAAGGAGTTCATGTACTTCTACAACTACATGCCACATTCAGCAACGTACTTCCTAGTATTAAGAAGTTTAAAATTATTACCTAAAAAAGTATCCAAGCCAAAAGCATGGAGTTCTCGATGTAAACTTTTACTGATTTTCTCTGCAATTTTCATAACCATTTAATAGAGCATATTGTGATGCCATTTTCACCACTTTGTAGCAGAATATCGACTGGAAATGTAACATTTCGGGCAGGTTTTCACGGCCAAAGAAATTCACCTACACTAATTACCGTCAGTAAAATATGTTCTTTGAGAGTTTGGTTTATGCAAAAAATTACCCAAAACACCAGGCATAGTCATCTGAAACAATTTCACTGTTACCATACAAATTAGCTAATCAATCTTCCACAGACTATAGTATCAGATACTAATTAAGTTCAGGAAATTCACTAATATCGCCAAAATTAATTAACAACCTAATAATTTAGTGAACAAACAAACAACAAGACTAAGAACAGCGAAAATTCTCCTAAATTTTCAGATAAATCGGGACAAAAACGGCAGAGTAAGGTTACCATGAGAAAATGAAGAGCAGAACAGCACAAGTAGTCGAGCCGCCACCCACCATCCCTCTCCCAAAGCAGAAGCACTTGGTAACGCCGTTAATTAACGCCTGCGCAACCAACAGCAGCCCAAACGCCGCTAGTCCGTACACCGTCGACGCGTCCGTCCCGTACGCGCAGTACGTTCTCTCGTCGTACTCGTCGGGGACCACTTTTGCCTGCAAAAGAGAATAAAAAAAAAAATCAAAAAAATTTAAAATCAAGCAAAGAAAAAATTGGGGGAAAATGGCACCGTGCTACGGCGTCGCTCGGCGCCGAAGGCAAATACAAAGGCGAGAAGGTGAAGGGAGATGGAAATCGCGAGGATGGGAACTGAAAGGCCCATTTTTTAAATTTTTATTTTTAGGTATGAGATCGATGTTGCTACAGTACTCGAAGCAGTAGTGTGTGAAAATATGAGGTAATTATTGAGGTGCTTCTTTGATATTTCTTGGAGAAAAATGTTGGAAGCTGAAAAGGAAAAGCGGAGATTGTGGCTTTCTTTACTGTTTTGCCATTTATGGATGTTTGTGGGGGAAACAGAAATTCTTGTACAAGGCTACCAGCCAGTTACGCGCCGAGTCGAGCCGCCATATAGTTTTGAACAAAAATATAATTTTTGTAAGAATGATATACTTTTGTATATATTATATTAGTATCTATATATAGGGTCACGCTCCGGTGAGAATGACTCTTAATGCGAGAACTGAGAATAAATATGGTGTACACGATCAACACAATCTAACGGATGTCAAGCAGTTGTGGGATTTAATACTGCAATTATATCGAAGGGCACGTGGGTAATTATACCTCACACCACCCCACTCTCTCACACGAACACACCCATAAACAGTTAACACACACACTCACACACACTTCCCGTCGCAACTCGGCCAGTCGATCACCGGTCACCGTCCCGCCATCGGCCAATACCACCTTCGCCGTCGCCATCTCAGAGATTCCCGCCTCCACATGAGCAGATCACTGGAACCGACCTCGGTCGCCCGCGACTCCGCCGCCAGAAAATTGCAGATCCATCTCCAATCGATTCGGATTTTGCCGTCTTGGTAGGCGGTGAAGATCTTGTGGCCGAGGGCGACTAGGGATTTGACCGACCCATCCCCGTGGCCGAATCTGGTGAAGAATTTGAGTTGGGGATTTTGCCAGACAATTATGTCCCTGCTCTGGGAGGCGCTGATGAGGAACTCGCCGCAGAGGGAGAGGGAAGAGACGGGGCCACGTGGCCTTTTAGGATGGCGAGGGATTTGTAGGGTTGGGAGAAGGGGATTTTTTGGTTTGGGGGAGAATAGGAGTGGAAAGAATTTGAAGGGCTCTCGTCTGGCTCTTCTGTCGTCAAGCTGCTTGGATTTGAACTTGGAGACGACAATGGAGGTGAAAGGATGGTGTTATGATTGACGGATTTTTTCAACATTTTTCTCTTTGGGTTTTTTTGTTTTGGAAAATTTGATCTTTATTGTGATGTGAGGAATTGAGGGGTGGATTTATTAGATTAGATGAGATTGTTGATAAAGAAAAAATAGGTTCATGTATTTGTGCAAGTAGAATTGCAGATCCATCCGCCGAAGTCCGTGTCCATTGGAGACCCGCAACGGCGCTTACCGGATTCGCAGTCCTCCGACGACCTCGAAATCGACAAGCAGAGACTAAAACACATTGGGGCTTCAAATCACATAAATTCGCGGTCGATCAATTGGGATTTGTCGAATCATTTGTTCAATGAGTAATCACTTCTCTTAACACAACCCGGCTATGGCTTTCGGAGATGATGAGCGTGAGGCCGCCGCTGCCTAATATCACCGGCAAAGTGGACGGGAAATTGAATTTGGGGGTTTGGGGGTTTTTTTTTTTTTTGAAAATTAGATATGTTTAAGGGACCTAATTGCAATTTTATAAATTTTAATTATATTACAATTTGGTTAATGGGTCAAATCAGTAATTTAATAAAACTTTTATAATTGCACTTTAATGTACAGTGCATTGCACCATATCGATTTCGGAATCATTAAAAATATCACTATACAGACTGCACCATATTGTTATACAAATTGCACTTTACTGCATGTGATGTTGCACTTTATCGCAATAGTGCATTTTACGCAATAACTAAAATACCCCTGCATGAAAAATCAAAAGTCCACTTATTTACAGAAATATCACCGTGTGCTTGACTAAGATTAAACCCTTTGACCGTGTCTGCATGTGACCCTTTCTTAATAATGCATATATATGAATAACAAATAAATTATTAAATAAAAAATATTATAAAATATTAAAAAAAATTATAATAATAAATAAATTATATAATAAAAATAACAAATGAAAATACATTTTAATTATTTAAGTTAATTAGATGTAAAAATATATCGATTAAAACTAGTTTTCGGATACACATGGGAAAGTATAAATTAGTGCATTTTATATAGCTGAACATTGCACTTTATAAAACAACACGTCGAACTGTATAAAACAACACATTGCACTTTATAACCACACTCCACAATTAATGTCAACAAGTATCGCCAAATAATTATGCAATATAAATATAAAAAATTGAGTGACATAATACTTTACTAACTATCACATAATATATCCTAAAAAAAACAAAATGCATATACACAAACATGTTAAAATATCGAAATTTCGGTATTGCACTTTATATATCAATACATTGAACTTTATATAGCATTACGTTGCACTTTATAACACGACGCTTTCCATGTACTAAAGTCGCAGTGATTCAAACGATCAATCGAATAATATTAGGTGGTTAATGTCGGATTTAATAATTTTTAAATAAACAAAACAACCGAACATGCCCAACTATATGAAAAAAATTCTCGATTTCTTTTTATTTATTTATATTTTTTATTATAAATGATATAATTTTTTAACTATATTTTTTATGTATTGCGAGTGCACGTTAGGGTTATACAGATTGCACATAAATGTCTATCAGATTGCACAAAATCAAACGATATCTGACAAACACAAATTCGGTACGAAATTTTATATTTTGGTTCTATTATAAATATTATTATTATTATTATTATTATTATTATTATTATTATTTATGGGGAATATCGGTACGATGACATTCGTTTTTTATTTAAATAACTTAAATAAAAACCAAACTTAAATTAAAAAATATTATTTGGAAAAATTTTTATTCAATAGAGACCACAATTGACAAGATTAAAATTTTTTATTTGAAACTTTATATTTCTAACAATTGTATATATTTACTTTTAATTTTAAAATACTAAATACAATATTATAAATATAAATAATAAGTTAATTTAGTTATTTCGGTTAAGCCGAATAACTGACCGAATAAATTAATCATTTATATTCGGTTTTAATTTGGATTGTGATAAAAAATATCATCGATAAATGTCTCACAATCTTGCACATTTACGATCAAAGACATGCACATTATTGTTATGCAAATAGCACATTAATGTCTTACATTAAATCAATTCACACACAAATCACCCCAAATTATATTTCATCTACACTATTCACACGGCCAATTCACAAAATTCCTTCACTGAGTTTGCACCTAAATCAAAATTCCCCCAAATCAATTCACACACAAATCACCCCAAATTACATTTCATCTACACCATTCACACGGCCAATTCCCAAAATTCCTTCACTGAGTTTTCACCTAAATCAAAATTCCCCCAAATCATGATACAATTCGTCAGCTCCAATAGTATTTCTCAAATTCACACAATTCCTACACAAAGATTGACCAATTAATTTGCACCTAAATCAAAATTCACCCAAATAAATGATGCAATTCCTCAGCCCCAATAGAATTTCCGGCCGCCGCTTCCATCTCCCGTTCAGATCGCCGGCGAGCTCGTCCCGTTCAGGTCTCAATCCCTTAACTATTTCTCTGCAATTCGCCGGAACGGTGGCCCTCGCCATCAGTACAATCGGGGCGATCCACGGGCAGGCTGAGCGAGTTTGAGACGGGTGCGGGTGACTGATGGCGGTGCTGGGATGGACGACGACGCTCGACGGGATGTTAGCGGCGGCGACCGATTGGGCGGCGACGGGAGAGATTAGGTGAATGTAAGTGGCCGGTAGTTTGGGTGTGTTGATTCCGGCGTGTCTGGGAGGACCGGAGAGAGAGAGAGCGCTGATGGGGATGGCTGGCGGCGCTCGTCGAGATGGTAGCGGCGGCAGTCCTGTGGCGGCGGCGACCGGTGATTTGTGGGCCACTTTCCGCCGGGCCGCTGGAGAGTGTGTGTGTGTGTGTGCGCGATGAGTGTGTGCGTGTGTGTATTGTGTGTGTTTGTGTGTGTTTGAGTGGATATAAACATTAGGGTTGGTAGGTTAGTGTGTAATGACCGGATTGTCCCTATTGAGTAGTCAAATATGTATGTTTGACTACAAAGATATGTTAATTTACCATATTGCCATTAATGATTGACCAATTTTGACTTGATCAAAATCATTGATATGTTGGATCCAATGATCCAGACTCATTCTCATTTCTCGCATTAAGAGTCATTCTCATATGATCCTTTCTCTCTATATATATATATAATTACTAGCTAATAGAATTTAATAAAACTTATTTAATTTTATCTATGTGGCAATTTAACAATTTTTCCTCCAAAAACCGTTATATTTTGATGTATTTATTCTTTCATTTAATCATTAAGTAATTAATACTCATCACTTTAAAATTACAAAAATCATTTTAAACTTTTGATTAATGACAGTTGACCATATAGTGTGTTGACCGTATAATGTGATTAGATGTTATTATTGTTGTTACATTTAATTTTTTTTTAAAATAAAAAATATATTTGAAATTTCTAAATAAATAATAAATAATTCACAAATAAAAGACGTACCAAAATATACATTACATCCAATCAGATAAACACAATTTAAAAAAAAAAAATATTCCAACTCTTTTAATTGTAAATTTGGTCTGCAAAAAAGTGAAAGAAAAATAATTAATCATTATATGTACAGACTCACAATAATTTATCTATATCTGTGCAAATGCACAGGTCGAATACTAGTTAGTATTTAAAATGGGTCACTTATATGTGATAGTATATTGTTAACAAAATATATTGTCTCACATTAAGTAAACGAGTTTTGGACGAAATCAAGTTCGGATTGTTTGATATTAGCGAGCTCAGTGAAGTCAACGAGCAACTCATTTCATTTAATAACTATAGTTGTACTTCAAATTCAAAATCTATGAGGCAATGATATTTACTTAAAATAATAACTAAAAATCAGCAAAAAAAAATATTTGGTTTTCCGCATAAAATATTTACTAAATTGAGTAATTTTTTGGCCAAATTTTGAAAAATTCCGCCTATGTGATATAAGTTTTATTTTTCAAAAATTTAATTGTAAACATTGGGTCATTTTGGAAACAGAATTGGACCTAATTTTGTGACTATCGAATATATTTATGCTATTTATTTTCTTAAGAGTCGATTGTCTTCCCAATCAAAAAATCTGAATTTTTGTTAATTTAAACCATATATTTATTTCAAACGTTTTTTTTTGCCGATGAAAAATACAAATTTAGTTAATTTCAACAAAAAATTCCTAATTATAAAAAATACGATTTTTCTAATAATAAAATATAATTACACATATGAAATTTTTTTGTTCATTTTTGGTTCATAATCACAATAAACCAATTTTAAACCTAACTATCATTCAAATCCGTAAGGTAGCACAATTTAAGTCCACTACAGTTAGGAAAGTAAATTTCATTTGCATATAAATTCTTAGATTTTTTTTTAAATATAAATGCTAAAATCTGATTTCATAAGGTAGCACAATTTAAGTTTTTTAAAAACTCCAATTGATAGTAATTTAAAATTATTATATTTCTAAAACAGTACCCTAGGTGTAGTAAAACTCATTTCACGATTTTCATACCCAATTAACGATCGAACAGTTGAAATTTTTTTATAATTTTACCAACTAAAATCGAATATGTAATAATCCTAAAATAAGCATACTTTGAAGATGTTGAAACTCATATTGATAGTAATTTGACAAAAATAAAATTCTAAAAAAATTCCACTTCAGTTAGGAAAGTAAATTTCAATTGCAACATGATGCAAAAAATAAAAAATAAAATTAATCAATAAATATATCTTGATTGAGTTGATTATAAGTGTCTTTGTAGCAGAGATGAGTAACACATGTTTTATCTTATGCTCGTTTAACAAACGAACAATGCTCGAGTTCGACTCGTTGAAGCTCGTGAAAGCTCGGATCAGCTTTCTCGTCTAATAAACTTAAAATACTAAACAAGTTGTTTGTGAATAGCTTAATTCGAATAACAATTCTAGATATGATTCATAAACTTTTTATGATTAATCTACAAAACTTTTTTTTTTTTTGCTTTATTCTTGTTGAATTGCTAATGTTTACTATCATAATTCATTTCGGTTTAGTATTTTTATTACAAAGAAAAATAGCTTAGCTTGCGGATCTCACTGAGTCTCCGGATCCCAAAGCTAGCACAGAGTACTCACTACGTAGTTCACTAGAATATATATTATTGATATTAGTTGTTATGCAACGTTCATGAATATTTCATGCAAATATAATAAATATAACTATAAATATATAAAAAAGTCTTAATAAGTTTCAAAAAGTTCAAAATAGTTCATGATGAAAGTCTTAAAAAGTCTCAAATAAGAACTTTATGAAAGTTTCAAAATGTCCACCAAAGTCATGAAAGTTTTACAAAGTCCACCGAAGTCACCCAAGAATCTCAATTGAGTATTCCCTTTTTACTTTTAACCGCGTGTGTTGGCAAGTACTTAGTCAAAGGTTAGTGATACCAATGAGCTAAGTTTTTAGCCCAATTTAACCAGATTGTTCGATCGTGAGGCCCAAAAATGGTTGCTGCCTTAACGAGAATTGAATTTTGTGTCCGAGTTCAACCACAGGTGCAAATGGACCATGCTAAACGGGTCAATTTCTTTGAGGATGACCCATAGGACTTACTATGATCGTCCAGCATATGAGTACTTACTAAATGCTTTCAAGGCTTCCTATAGCAAGTGTGTTATATATCGTGTTGTATTGTATTTCATTGTCATATTTTCGTGTTAGTAATTTACTTCGATTAAAAAGATCATACTTTCCATATTGTGTTTCCCATCGTGCCCATCATTGTAATTTGTCTCTCTTATCATTTTTTCTTTTTTCTTTTTGATCGGTCTCTTATCATTTTTTCTAATCCTATCATGTTGTGTCAGCCATTTTCTCAAATTACTTGAAGGCCTCGTAACTTTTCACCTCAATGAAATTTTCTTCAAAATATACATTGCTGAAAACAATTGAATCTCCCCTTGTACATTGTGTTTCACTATCTCTAAAATCTTTGTTTCTCTTTTTTTCTTTCAAGTAAAACAAATATCTCTCTCTCTCTCCCTACCGGTTGAAATGCATGACTTGAGGTGCAACCTGAGCAGCCTATACAATGTGTCGGCCGTGAACTTCCTCGCAAATAGGTAGCACTGGCCCGTGACCCTCCCGTTGTACACGCACCTCCTCCCCCCTCCCCCCCTCAACCACTCGAGGAAACCAGGATTCACACCAGTGCGGATGAACTTAGTTGGGTGGGGACCACCCCTCGACCAGTCGACCCACGTCAGCGTTCGGTTGGCGTTCCTCGCCGCAAAACCGCCAGGGAGCACGCCGCCCACGAGGGTCGGAAGGTAGTGCTCGTCCGCGTAGCACGACCCCTTGCAATAGCTTTTGAAGGCCGAGAAGTAGGTGGAGTCGGAGACGACCTCGAGTGCCAGGTGGCGGTCGACCGTGAACCACTGGGAGCCCTTGCGCCAGTTGGTGAGGCGGAGGGTCGGGGCCATGTTGAGACTGTAGCGGCCGCGGCCCACTGGGCCTGGGAGGTCGTAGGACTCGACGAAGGTGTGGTTGGAGCCGAGGAGGTAGGAGTAGATGGTGGAGAAGTTGTGGAGAGGGATGCACGACTCCGACAAGAGGACGAACCTCTCGTTTGACACGTCGAGGAGAGCGTGGGCCAGCAGCCGACGCTCTGCCTCTACCATGTTCACGTTCCCCCATTTCACTTCCTGTATGCATCAGTGATATACCAAAATTATTAGGCCTTTTATTAGGCGACCTAATGGTTAGGTAGCCATGCTATTGCACTACATATACATACTTTCATATTCAGTTGTCATACTTCAAAATACAATATACAAATAAAAGTAGTATGAAATTTCATAGTATAAGCATGTGTATTATGTAACAAAGTATGATTGACGACCGAGTGATGCATCCTAGTGAAAACATTTGTGTTATTATAATTATATATAATCATCATGATCATTTGGTGTTGTGTGTCTAATTTATCAATAAAAAGACAACAATTTAAGGCTATGTTTGACATATCTAGCTAAAAACTAGCTGACAACCAATAAATTAATTTTGAGCTTATGGCTGATTAAAGGGTATATTCAGTATATCTAGTTGCACATAGGTTATTTTTGAGCTTATAGCTGTGAACTTATAGTTGGTAGCTTATAACCATGAGGTTATGGCTGAAACTAACTGATATAACATGTTTGGTAAAATTAGTCGGTAAATCAACTAAAACAAAAATGTCAACATTTTTTTAAAGATGTTTAAAGAAACTTATGAAATAAGTTCAAGTTTTATGAAAGCACATTCTGTCACACCAAACTTTTACTTAAAACAAGATACTTATGAGCTAACTAAATAAATTTTAAGCATGATGTTTAGAAAATAGAGTCTAACTAATAGACCTGGTACTTCTTTTTTTAAATAAAAAATGCATATTTAGTATTAAGTGTCTTACACCTTGAAATTCAAGAAGTATGTCTCTGTTACAATATTTATTAGTCAGCATACATATAGATCATTTATTTTCTGAAGAAAATTTTATAATTAATGTAAAGGGGGTAATGTTTGTTAGTCAGCATACATATAGACCATTTATTTTCTGAAGAAAATTTTATAATTAATGTAAAGGGGGTGTTTGACATTCTTTTCTTTCGTTAGGGAAAGTATGTCGTGAATCACTAATTGAATTTGGCAAGTTTTCAAGATGCTGAGAATAATAATAAAGGAAGAAAATTAAACCAATTTGGCAAGCAAAGGCAAAGTTCGTTGTGTCAGTGGTGCCGTGACCAGTATTCAATCAATTATACTATTGTCTATCGATAACTATAGTCTATCGATATAGTATGGTCTATAATATGCTTATTTATTTTATGTCCCCAAAGGTTAGGGTAGGATATGATTGCTAATTAAATAAAAATTAAATAATAAAAAAAGCTTTTTTCATGGGAGTAAAATTAAATGGGAGCTTTTGTTTGTCTTTCTTAGTGCATGTTGTGGTAGGTTTGGTTCTAGAGCAAGTGACGGATCTAGGAATTTCATTCAGGAGGCTCGATTTTAAATGTTAAATAACGAGCTTGTAGTTTAAGTCGCAATGCTCATTTCATGTAGAATTCATGTTGAAATGTACTCACCATAAATATAAATATTGATATGTGTGCCATCAAGTTTTTAAAAACTTAGAATCTGTATCACCTTCAATTTTTTTTTAAATAAGATTTCAATTATTTATAATTTAACTTCAACATCTATAAGTTATGAAAAATAAATTTTTTGGTTGAAATGATTTAAATTAAACTTTTGCAGCATATTGCATAACATTTTTATTGATGATAGATCATCAAATGAACATTTTCTTTTTAGAAATGAATAAAATAAAAATCTGTGATTACACAAAAAAAAAAGTAAAAAATCAAAATTAAAAAATGTAACAATCCATTTAAATACTCAATTTTATAAATTACTAAATCGATTTACATTGAAGAGACCGAAAGAGTAAATCATTATAAACTTTTTCAAAAATTTACCTAGAAATGTAAAATATAAGGATTGTTAGTATATTTTTTAATAAATAAATAATATTATTAATTTAAATTAAAATAACATAGAAAATAAGTTAAAATTATTTTTGTAAATATTTTTTTATTTCTATATATATTTTATAATATTTTCTTTATATATATAGTGAATTTAGTAGTGAATTTAATATATATATATATATATATATAGTGAATTTGAAATGTTTAGAAATTTCTGTTCAAATTTTTCAACTAATTCTCTAGAAATTTCTAAATTTAGTGAATTTGAAATGTTTAGGTGAGATTTTCAGGATGCTTGGATATAAAAAAATTTAGATTTGTTTGGATTTTTTTGTTTTGGTTTGGTTAATTTTGAAAAAAGGTGGTATGGTTAGTTGTTAGTGGGTATATTAAAATAATATTTAAAACAAAATAATTAAAGTTGATTTAATATAAAAGTAGAAGATAGATGGTTTGAAGTGATGATTAGTGGATGAAGAGTGAATTAAATTTGATATGATGTATAAGAATAACTGATTGATATTATTTAATTATATTGCTAATATTGATGATAGTGGGGTTGAGTTAAAATTGAGAAAAAAAAATAGTTGAGTTAAAAATAATTAAATTTTTTTGGATAAATTTGTATCCAAGCATAAAGTTTTAAAATTTCATCATTTTCAAGTAACAAATTTTAATCAATTAATAATTATTTTATAAAATTTAAATAGTAATATATTGATTTCTTCAATTATTTTTAGTGAGGAAAATTATGAGAGCATACGCAAAAAGGCTCCCAGAAATCTAAAGTTGGCAACTTTGGAAAAAGGGAATAAGAAAAAGGAATTAAAGCAGTATGCATAATGGATGATGAATCTGATGAGAAGCTGTATTTCTTATCCCATCGTAGCTAAATTATAAACCTCTCTATGCAGGGGATCAAGCTCGATTTGTGTATCAAATAAGGAAAAAAAAAAAATCAAAAGACTGAGGTTCATCAAAACTTGAAATTTATTAGGCTCCATTGAAAATGAGGGATTTGAATTTCTAAGAGACACTCGCATAAAATTATGTATTTGTTTCTAATCAATATTTTGGATCGGCCTACCTAACGATTAAACCGATTCATTCA